ACCATGATCAATGGTATCTATTAGATATCTAAATATTCTTGTAATTGCCTTCCAATGTATATACAATGTTTTTGTAGTAATTGGCAAACTTTACTAATACAATGAGATATATCTAAATCCTAGTTATAATTTATGTTTTAAAACTCGAATCAGATCGATTGGTCCAACCGGTTTGATTGAGAACCAACCTTAAATCCAGTCTGGTTGCCCCTAAAGTCTGGTCATTGTATTTAACCTGGATTGAGCCGATTATGAATTGGTGGAATAGTATCAAACCATCAGTCGGTAGCTAAACCAAGTCAATTAAAAGCATAATCCCTAAAAACAAAACAATCTCACATCTTCCAATTATGCTCTGCATCCTTCAATCTCCAATTCTGCATCTTCGTTCTTCATTCTTCACTCTAAAGAAGATCGAATCCAAATCCAAAATCTCTAACAAAGCCAACAACCGAAGAAATGGAATAAAGCTTGAAATTTTGTCACATACTTTAATCTCACCTTATTCAATCTCAAGGTAGAGCCAGATCTCACCTTCTTCTTCATCAAAATCCAATTAAAATCTCAGTCAAATCTCATTTGTCTCTATAAACTTCCGCATACAACAACTTAAAAAATAGAATAAAGCCTGAAATTCTGTCAGCCAAGAAAATAGACCTTACATGCTTGGATCTCACTGAAATTTTTTGGAGAAATGATTTTTTTTTTTATGCAAACACAATTGTTTTCACTTTCTATTAAAAAAAAAAAAATTTCGAACCTCCTCTGTTTCTATTTTAACCTTTAATATATTCTAAAAAGTGTTAAAGTTTAAATAACCCTTATCACCAAATCTTCAATATATGACATGTCATACCACTGCCATTAATGAATTTTCTATCAATCACTTTTCTTTGAAAACATCTCCGTTTTTTATCATATGCGCTTATAAAATATGTATTTACGTATTTTATAAAGGTCTGTAGAATTATTCACGAATTATTGGAGTATTGATGAAAGAAAAAAAATAATTGAAACGACGTCATTTTAGTGGGGAAGAAGAAGTCAGTGGTAAGGCCTGAGAGGAGAGATTGGAAAATGGGGGAATAAAAAAAACTAACCCGCTCAAAGACATCCACTTTTCCGCCCATTCCTCACACCTGACACCTTTACATTTTAAACTCAAAAGTAATATGGAGATTTCACGTTTTCACCTACCTCTTTTGTATTCATTTTGGGATGAATAATTTTCTTGAATTAAATAGTAATTTGCTTAGTTATGATATTGAGTCAAAACACATTTCATATTTTAAATTATTTCCATGCTATCTAATAAATTAGATTGGATTAATAAAATTAAAATAATAATTTATTATGAAAAAAAAAAACTGTCATATATTATAGGTATAAAATAATAGTTAAACTATTGCAACACTAATATTTTATATAGATTTGTGAGACAAAATTTTAGTTTTTGATTTAAATAATTTAATGGATTAATGGGAAGTTAAAATTGNGAGTATCTTTAATGAAATAGCATTGAGATTATCATACCATATTAAGGGAGGCTTTGTCACAAAATTTTAAGTTCTGTGATTAAACTTTGTAGCCAGAATATGTCAACACTTACATGAGTTAAGATCTGATATTGGGTCTGTTTGGTTTAATATTTTTCCCTATTCTATTGATACTATTTCCAAAATGTACATTTGTTTCTTTATTCTGAAAATACTATTATATTTTTTTCAACTATTTTAAACTCTCTAAGATTATTAATTTAACTAAACACCCCTCGAAAAAAAGTTTAAAATTTGACAAAAACACCTCCACCCACCCACATTTACCAGATTTTGGCCACCACCGCCGGCAGGTGGTCGGAATCTGGTATAATGGTGCACTACCACCTGGATTTGGCCAATAGTGCACCGATCTATCATTTACTAGCCAGATCCATAGTGGATCTGGCCGAAAAATTCTAGATCTTTGGCTGTAGCTAGTCTTCAACAACAACCAAAATATTGCCATCAACGACCAGATTTGGTCGTAGATCTAGCCTTTTCCAACCAGATCCATTGTGGATCTGGCTGGAAAAGGTCATCTTGGCACACGACTGCCAGATCCAACCAGTCGTGCGCCGATACGGCGACTTCGACCACCCTTCGATGGTGGTGGTTGGCTATCGGTATTTAATGGATGAGTGGGGGTATTTTTGTAATTTTTAATGTTTTTATTACAGGGGTGTTTAGTAAATCACCAAACCTAGGGGTGTTTTTGTTAATTTTTAAATCCTACCTCGTTATTCTCACCAAATTCTAAAAATATCAAAAATACTATCCCAAATATTAAAACAAACGCACCCTTATTATTAGTTGCTTTTTCAAACTCCAAGATCTCAAGTTTTCTCTCAAATATACACAATATCTAGAAGTTGACCTTTTATCATCAAGATCAATTGCCTACTTGGCTTTTAACGATAGACCATGATCAATGGCATCTATTAGATATCTAAATATTCTTGTAATTGCCTTCCAATGTATATACAATGTTTTTGTAGTAATTGGCAAACTTTATTAATACAATGAGATATATCTAAATCCTAGTTATAATTTATGTTTTAAAACCCGAATCAGATCGATTGGTCCAACCGGTTTGACCGAGAACCAACTTTAAATCCAGTCTGGTTGCCCCTAAAGCCTGGTCATTGTATTTAACCTGGATTGAGCCGGTTATGGATTGGTGGAATAGTACCAAACCGTCGGTCCACCTGACTCGATAGCTAAACCAAGTCAATTAAAAGTATAATCCCTAAAAACAAAACAATCTCACATCTTCCAATTATGCTCTGCATCCTTCAATCTCCAATTCTGCATCTTCAATCTTTATTGTTCACTCTAAAGAAGATCGAATCCAAATCCAAAATCTCCAACAAAGCCAACAACCGCAGAAATGGAATAAAGCTTGAAATTTTGTCACATACTTTAATCTCACCTTATTCAATCTCAACGTAGAGCCAGATCTCACCTTCTTCTGCATCAAAATCCAATTAAAATCTCGGTCAAATCTCATTTGTCTCTATAAACTTCCGCATACAACAACTTAAAAAATAGAATAAAGCCTGAAATTCTGTCAGCCAAGAAAATAGACCTTACATGCTTGGATCTCACTAAAATTTTTTCGAGAAATGATTTTTTCATGCAAACACAATTGTTTTCACTTTCTATTAAAAAAAAAAATTTCGAACCTCCTCTGTTTCTATTTTAACCTTTAATATATTCTAAAAAGTGTTAAAATTTAAATAACCCTTATCACCAAATCTTCAATATATGACATGTCATATCACTGCCATTAATGAATTTTCTATCAATCACTTTTCTTTGAAAACATCTCCGTTTTTTAACTTATGACCTTGGTGACTTGGTCTATTTCTTTGAAAACATCATTCTTTTTAACCTTATTACCCTTGGTTTATGACGTCTCTGATCCAATCAGCCTGTCCAACCAACTAGTCGAACCAAGATCCGATCAATTGACCGGGTCTTTTAAAACAATGATTATAATAACAGAATGCAAAGCTCCAACTATGTTGTGTAAAGAAAAACTTTTTTCAATAGGCTAACCGCTAAACTACACAAGATGCCTGTTTCAAGCAAATGCATATTGAAATCTTATTGTTCGTAGAGGCAGTTTGTAAGAGTTTTGATAAGGTTCACAGGAAAAACGGCCAGAGAAGGAAATACAAAGGGACCAAGGAGCAAGAGTTAGATGAGTTTTTGAACACCATTGATGCAGTTGGAGCTTATATTTTTCAACACATCAGTTGGGAAGTCGCAGGATGGGTGTGAATGAGGAAGAGAATGCTGTAAGATTTGAATGGCTAAAGATGGGTAGCTGAAGGCTTATTTGTGCGTGAGAATCCAATGATCACACTATTCAATCCACTGCCTATTGCATTTCCACGAAGATTGCACAAACACAAACCATTGGCACAAAAATGCTCTTGAAAATCATTCACCTCTTTACATTGATATTAAAGTTATACAATAAGAATACAAAATCCGACTCTGTATCTTCACTTTTTCATTTCATAATCCTTTTTTTCCGAAGCCTTCTATCTCCACAGGATGGAAATAGATGGCAAACAAAACAGTCTCGTGTAGGAAATTACATGCACTTTCCCAAAAGTATGAAGAATAGGAACAACAGGCTTGTATCATCGATTTACTCATTTGACAATTGGTTTAACTGCTTTCTCAGCAGCAGCATCCAGATCTTCTGCTGTTATTTCCTGCAGACAATTGAAATATTCAATGCTGGCCATCACCAACAATTTTCTGTTGTTCTTTCCATTTTCACATTAATGGAGAAAATAGGCCATCCTTCCACTTATTCCAAAGTTAGCATTCACAGAAAAAGTTTGGAATAAAAAGGCGAAAATTGTAAGCATTATTATAGAAGATGAGTAAATGACTGAAAGTACAAATTCAGGTGCTGAAAAGGGGAGATAGTTTAAAGGGTAGAACCTAAAACAAGCCCAGTACAATTTCATGCATTTAAAATGGTAAGAATTGGTTTACATAAAATCCAAAACAATTTAATGCACTGCTCAACTGTTTAGCAGTATTGACAATTCCGCTCGCAATTACATCACCCTTCATTATTCCTCCAAATATGTTTACCAAAATTGGTTAAATTTTCTCCATGGAAGTTAATATTAAATGCCTCAGCCACCTGTTCCACATAATTATTGAATAAAAAATGAATCCCAGATGGCACAAAGAAAAAATAAATACATTACTACTGGATGGTCAGACCAGCCCGCTTATTCAAAATCATTGACAGAGCGGAATACTAACACAATACAAGCAGTAAAACAGAGTATTGAATCATTACCTGCCTACGTCTAGAGAATTGTACCATTGCTAATCCAGCACTATTAACCATACAATTAAGTTTATGCTCACTTCCATTAATGTGCCCTTACAAAAGAATTACCACAATTTCTTTTACTAGTTCAATAGTATCATTTCTATCGTGGCCTTGGGTGCTACACCATCTACAACCTTTAGCACCATCTTCATCAATGGTTGTTTTGAAAACATCAATACGCACCTATCAGAAACAAAGATGTGTCAGCTATATAACAATGTTGCAACTCAATGGTCATGCTAAATCACAAAAGATGAAGACGACAATTTACACCAAAGATGAAGATGAAATTGAGTATCATTACTCTAACCTAATATCATATCAGAATTAATTACATTCAGAAGTTAATACACTGCTTGGTGTTCACGGCTACTGTGAAACATGTTAATCCAACAAGAAAAACTACAAACACTCAACATAAAAGGTACCTAAAGGCTTCAAGACTTCTAATATTATCAAAATAAATAAAAGAGATTTTCACCAACATCAACAGACTAGCATCCTGGTGAATTGAATACTAAACATATTATTTAGTATACCACCCTCTCATGGTTTTTGGGATTGAGGAGCACACTAGAGTGGACACAATTACGAATGAAAAATTCACCATCGCCCATTCATCTCACAGATTAACTCTAATTAAGAGGATTGAAATGTGAATTGCAGTCAATAAAACAACATGATTTAATTTATCCCATCAGGTTTTTAGTAAGACCTATCTCCAAAATAACTTCACATATTTGACTTCTTCATTAAAGGATTCACATAAATACAATTACCACTATGATGATGGCACAAACCTTTACATGGAAACTTTGACATCTGACAAGGCTCTCGTCATAAGTTGTACTCCCCTGGAGATACAATTACTCGACAATCAACGTCCTGTTGGTTCTTGGCTAGAGAATGACAGAAGCAACTTTAAGAATTTGAGATAATTTTCATCCTTTCCCAGTAAATCTACAATTATTGAAGCTATGGATGCATCTAGCTTCAGATTTCTCTCATTCATTTTGTGAAGAAGTTCAACCACTTTTGAAGTCTCATTATTCTGCAAGAAACCAGACATAAGTGTACCAAATATGAGTACATCTGGAGCACAACCGTTTTGCTCCATATCTGATAACAAATTACTTGCCATTTCTATGTTCCCTTCTTTACAAAGTCCATGCATCAGAATGTTATTGTCACAACATCTGGAACAAAGCCTTTATTTCGCAATCTGTGAAACAGTTCCCAAGCAATTTTGAGTCTCCCTGTTTTACACAACCCATCAATGAGACAACTGAAAGTTTTTATGTCAGGTTGAATGTTTCCATTTTTTAAAGTATCAAACAGTTCAACAGCCTCCAAAACACAACCATTTTTGCAAAATCCATCAATGAGAATATTATACGTAATTAAATCGGGATGATCATTATTGCGTTGCATCTCACCAAATAGTTTCCTTGCATGTCCGACATTACCAATCATAAAAAGGCCAGTCAGCTAGGTGCTATAAGTAACAACTGTTGGCCTAACTGCCTTTGAAGTCATTTCCCTATAAAGACTCATAGCTTCATCAACTTTACGATTTTTACTATACCAATTGATCAGAGTATTGTAGGTAACTACATTAGGTAAGCATCCCTTATTCAACATCGAAGCAAACAACTCTTTAGCATCATCAATTTTATTTGCCAAGCAAAAACCGTCCATCAAAATATTGTAGCTAAAAACATCAGGCTTACGCCCCTTACTCGCCATAGAATCAAATAGCTTTCTTGCATCATCAATTCTACCTTCCAAGCAATAACCATTCAAAATTGTGTTACAAGTTATTGTGTTGGGATGAATACCTCTATTAATCATCAGTTGGAGCAATCCATTGGCTTCATCCATCTTTCCATTCTTACAAAGATCATCCATTACCACACTAAATGTCACTTCATTAGGTTGTACACCTTCATCCAACATCTCCATAAACAAAGTTTTCGGCTCCTCCCCATTAGATGTATTACACAGACCATAAATTAGAGATCTGTAAGTAACAACTTTTGGGTTAATGCCCCTAGTCTTCATTTCTGAAAACAGTTCTTTTGCCTTGTCTATTAACCCATATTTGCAAAGACCATCAATGATACTATTATAACAAACAAGATTAGGCTTACAAATGACACCAAATTCACCATTCCCATTAACCATTTCTTCAAATAACTGAAGGGCATCAGTGATATTGCCTGTTCGACACAACTCAGTAATCAAAGTCCCAAATGTAATTACGTTAGGCGTACAACCAAAAGAACCCATTTTCCTAAGCAACTCAATCACCTTCTTAATCTTACCTTCCATACAAAGACCATTAATGAGACAATTAAAAGTCACAGCATCTGGGTAAAAAGCCCTCCTAAAAATACTCCCAAAAATAACAAAACCATCATAAACCCTACCTCTTTTTCATAAGTTATTTATTACATTGTTCAAAATAATTAAATCAGTCAATATCCTAGCTGATACGAACCTCGAGTACAGCTAAAGTAGTTGATCATATTGTTTTTTCTTAGCGAGTGCAGTAAAGAAAACACGGAATGATGAGATAGTAGTTGTTGGGTGCATATGAATCATGTAATCGAAGAAATAAAGAGCTTCATCAAGGGAGAAGTTACCAAATTTGCAGTTTACATGGAGGAAATTATGAAGTTGAGGATGGTGTTTAAAAGTAGAGGTGTGTTTGGGTGATTTTGTGAGTTGATTTTGGGAAACTGAAACTGAAAATGAAGATGAAAATCTAAGTTTTAAAGCTGATTTTGAAGAAACAAGTGAAGTTTTAAGAAACATTTTCGACTGAATTTGTGAGTTATTGATTGGATAAGCAAATCCTTGATGCATATACGGTTGTGCCCTATGTGAATCATAATATATTTTTCATATAAATATATATTTAACTTCAAAAGGAAAAGAAAAAAATAATTTAAATTTTAAACTTATTATAATCTTTAATTTAAGAATTTTAATAACTAAAGGAAGAAATGTGTGAAAAAAAAAAGATAAAAATATTGTTTGGCAAATTATTTGATAAATATTAGTATATTTTATTCTTTTAGTCCCTTTAAGTTTATTAATTTCATTAAATATCCCTAGAAAAAAAATTTAAAAATTAACAAAAACATCCACACCCACCCATACTTGCCAAATTCCAACAACCTCGGTAATAGTCGGAATCTATCATAACGGCCTAGATCACGATTGGAATTAGTCGGTAATTCACCGATCTAACCTTTTTCGGTCAGATATGACCGTCTGCGATGGCCAAAGATTGACTTTTGCGGCCGTCGATGGTCAGATAGGGTTTAGGGTTTGAAAAATATAAGAATCAATTAACATATGAGTGTACTGAAGGATTTTTTAGGGGGATATCCAACTCATTTGACTATTGAAATATCTGATTTGCCCCCTACAATTTCTTTCATTTTTTAATTATTTTAGACAAAAAACTTAAGAAAAATATCTTTAAGAAATAATTTTAAATATACTTAGTTGTGTGTTAAAGTTAATAGACAAAATTAACGTTATGGGGCTACCCTCTTATTTTTCATAGTAGTGGGTGGCATAAAATCAACAAAACTATGGGAGTTTACTTGAAAGTTGAAATATCCCTCCTGAACATGAAGAAAGAAGATGGAAGAAGAAAGAAGGTGTTGATGAATAAAAGTTAAAATAGAGATGGTCATCTTCATATTATTAATTTAGGGGGCTAAAAGTTTCACTCATTATTATAATAAAGTTTTTTAAGAGTAAAAAAGGTTTGGTACAGGTCAAATACTAGACGTTGTACATTAGTTTGGTACTACTAGAAATAATGATATAATTATAACGTTTTACATAAAAAGAAAAAGAAGAATAAACCAAAATAAAAAATCATAATTAATGGATCAATAATTGATTACAATTTGATAAGCAAATCCTTAATTGTCACATTGGTAGGATGGCTTGTGCCCTATGCTGTTAATATAAATATATAATCTTGTATGAATATTTTTAATTTAAGAATTTCATAAAGTAACGAAGAAATGAAGAAAAAAAGAGAAAAGAGGGTATAAGATAAAAAAACAATTTTTAAAATTAATATATATTGTTAGATTATTTTAACTTTTTTTTTCTTCGACATATCTTTGTTAACTTCGTCATCTCCATTTTTTCACTTGCATTAAGTATCTATTTTTCTTCTTCTCTTCTTCTTCTTCTTTTTTTTTTTTTTTTTTTTTTTCTTTGTTCTCTGTTTGGTAAAATCTAAATCCTGCATTCGTTCGTAGTCTATTTCCCTTCAGTTCCGTTCATACTTCTCCTTCAATTTCTTACAGAGTACTTTTTCTATCAACTTTAACTTCCATGAGAACTAAAAAAAAAAAAAATAAAATAGTAAAAAAAAGTTAAAGACTTTCCACCAAGCATATCTATCGACAATGGATAAGTATTAAATAATATTCTTCTCTTCTTTTTGTTTTCATTTTCTCTTATACACATTAAAATCCTCCATAATCATAATAATGGGATCAAACTAATTTATCAATATAAAGAAGTTACAATTTAATAGAGGTGTAGCTACAAAATTATATTTTGATTTCTTATTTTAAATTCACGTTTTAGTAATATGTATTAGGATTTCAATTCATTATTTTAGAGCGTTGCTACAATTAGACAATAAGAGAAATGAAGTAATCTTGAGGATGATTGTACAAAAGTACAAACAGTTTTGTGCCAATAAACTCTAAACAATGTTTGAGAAGTTAATAAATTGACAACTTTCTAAGACGGGAATTAAAAAATTATAACTTATTATAATGTGAAATTTATTCTTATTTATAACTATCCCAAGTTTAGATTAGAATTTTTTTATTACTATGTAGAGATTATTCTTATATGAAGTATCACAATAAAAAAAATTTCTGTATTATAACCTAATGAGCATTTATCGTAGTTTAAATTTACAAGTTTAAACAGGAGTTAAACTGAATTTCTTCAAGTAACCCTAACACAGTAACAGTTGACGGGAGTATCTACTCCATTGTTGTTTTATTATATTGTTTGATCTTATCTTCCAACCCATTAAACAAAATTAAAATATAATTTCCAACATAAAGTTTCAATTATATTTTAGAAAAATTAAAAAAAAAAAATTTAGGGTTTGAAAAAGATAAGAATCAATTAACATATGGGTGTACTAAAAGATAATTACCACTTTAAAAAAATATATATTATTAAAGCTTAAGAAAAACTGTGGGCATAAATAACACCACCCATTTTAAGGTTGCGCTTGGTTCGGGGGTAGTTGACATTACTCAGTAATGTCATTTTATATTACTTATATTATCATATTTAGTTGTCAGAATAAAAATTCTGATAATCTTTCAAAACCAATAGATATTATTTTTTGTTATTAGTGGTAATCTGAATACCACCATTTTCTTAGGTATTCTAAGATTACTGGTAATTTAATTTTACTACAATAGTACCCCTAACTATTAAAATTTTGGACAGTAATGCCTTTGTTCTTAACATAATTTACAAGAATATTCATAGACTATTTTATCCTTATACACAAGAGTTTTAGACCCTTGAACTTGAACTAAATTACCCAAGAAAGATGGCTGGATTTGGCCACCAGTGTGGGCCACAACCGCCAGCCGCCACCCCTGGCAGCTGACCGACATCGTCGGAACTAATGTTCGAAAAGTAACCCGACCCGCGGCCTCGGCGGGTTAGTGGTTTTGGCTGGTCGGGCCTAACCGCGCGCCCGCCAACAAAGGCGGGTTGGGCCTAACCCAGCCCGCCAACAACCCGGCCCGTTGGGGGTTGCATGCGGGTCGGTTCAACCCCGCCCACCTTATAGGCAATCCGGATTGAACCCTCTTTAATCTGGGCCAGGTTAGGTTCCACCTCTAGTCCAAACGGCACCCAACCGTAGATCTGGCCGGTTGTATGTCAATCTAGTCGTTTCTGGCTAGATCGATGGCTGGAAACGACCAAATCTATTCTCGCCGTTAACAACCATAGATTTGGCCGTTAGTGACCAAAATGGATCTAACCATTTGCGACCAGAATGGATCTCGTTGTTTTTGGCCAGATCCACGGCTCTAGCCGTTTTTGGCTAGATCCACGCCATTTGACTATGTCTGACTATCGACCTAGCCAGAAACAGCCAAATCAACGCATGGCCAGCCTATCCAGTCGATCATGCACCGTTCAGGCCACGCTAACCGCGACCGATAGTGACTTTGTGGGGTGGTGGTGTTTTGTTAAAATTTAAACTTTTATTGTGGTTGGGGTATTTTAGCAAAATCCAAATATAGGGAGTTAAAAAAATATTCTAATTAATTTAATAATATTAAAAAGAAGGGTAATTCAGTAATCCATATAACAGACCCTCAATTTATTCCTCCCACAATTTATTCCAAACTAACCAACACATTTAATATAACATTCTCAATAATCTTAAAGGTAATTTATCTTCTCATTAATTTAACGTTTTCATTAATACAATTTCCCTAAATCAAACGCACTCCAAATGCTTAATCAAATTGTCATTTTGAGTTTTTGGTGAGTCAAAATTGGCCACAAAATTACGTCACTTTCCCGAAGTTGGCCTGGTTCATGAATAATTGAGCCCCTTGTTTATATTTAAAAGTAAGGTCGGCAATCAATCATAGTTATTTACCAAAAAAGTAATGTCAATGTTATTTTACAAAACAACTCTATGATATAGAATTTTATGTTTATTCCAACTATACTATTGGAATAACTTTTTTTTTTTTTTTTTTTTTTTTTTTTTTTTTTATAACAATAAAATTTATTTTTTTGTTTTATAACAAGTGTAAATATTATATTAATTCCCCACATCTTCATCACAAATAAAGGTGTTCCTACATGTACCCAAACGTGTGGGACATTTTGTCATCCTTACCCAAATCTACATATAATTTTGAAAAATAAAATAAAAACACAAGGGTATATACAAGTTTCAGTTTCCAAACAAAAACCCACTTTCTCCCACACCTTCCACCAGAAAACAAAAAAAAAACCCAATCCAAACCCTCGTTTAAAAGAGAAGATAAATTTGGTTCTTGCTTGTGGAGTATCTTTAATGAAATAGCATTGAGATTATCATACCATATTAAGGGAGGCTTTGTCACAAATTTTAAGTCTGTGATTAAACTTTGTAGCCAGAATATGTCACACTTACATGAGTTAAGATCTGATATGGTCTGTTTGGTTAATATTTTTCCCTATTCTATTGATACTATTTCCAAAATGTACATTTGTTTCTTTATTCTGAAAATACTATTATATTTTTCAACTATTTTAAACTCTCTAAGATTATTAATTTAACTAAACACCCCTCGAAAAAAAGTTTAAAATTTGACAAAAACACTCCACCCACCCACATTTACCAGATTTTGGCCACCACCGCGGCAGGTGGTCGGAATCTGGTATAATGGTGCACTACCACCTGGATTTGGCCAATAGTGCACCGATCTATCATTTACTAGCCAGATCCATAGTGGATCTGGCCGAAAAATTCTAGATCTTTGGCTGTAGCTAGTCTTCAACAACAACCAATATTGCCATCAACGACCAGATTGGTCGTAGATCTAGCCTTTTCCAACCAGATCCATTGTGGATCGCTGGAAAAGTCATCTTGGCACACGACTGCCAGATCCAACCAGTCGTGCGCCGATACGGCACTTCGACCACCCCTTCGATGGTGGTGGTTGGCTATCGGTATTTAATGGATGAGTGGGGTATTTTTGTAATTTTAATGTTTTTATTACAGGGGTGTTTAGTAAATCACCAAACCTAGGGTGTTTTTGTTAATTTTTAAATCCTACACTCGTTATTCTCCAAATTCTAAAAATATCAAAAATACTATCCCAAATATTAAAACAAACGCACCCTTATTATTAGTTGCTTTTTCAAACTCCAAGATCTCAAGTTTCTCTCAAATATACACAATATCTAGAATTGACCTTTTATCATCAGATCAATTGCCTACTTGGCTTTTAACGATAGACCATGATCAATGGCATCTATTAGATATCTAAATATCTTGTAATTGCCTTCCAATGTAATACAATGTTTTTGTAGTAATTGGCAAACTTTATTAATACAATGAGATATATCTAAATCCTAGTTTATAATTTATGTTTTAAAACCCGAATCAGATCGATTGGTCCAACCGGTTTGACCGAGAACCAACTTTAAATCCAGTCTGGTTGCCCCTAAGCCTGGTCATTGTATTTAACCTGGATTGAGCGGTTATGGATTGGTGGAATAGTACCAAACCGTCGGTCCACTGACTCGATAGCTAAACCAAGTCAATTAAAAGTATAATCCCTAAAAACAAAACAATCTCACATCTTCCAATTATGCTCTGCATCCTTCAATCTCCATTCTGCATCTTCAATCTTTATGTTCACTCTAAAGAAGATCGAATCCAAATCCAAAATCTCCAACAAGCCACAACCGCAGAAATGGAATAAAGCTTGAAATTTTGTCACATACTTTAATCTCACCTATTATCATCTCAACGAGAGAGCCAGATCTCACCTCTCTGCATCAAAATCCAATTAAATCTCGGTCAAAATCTCATTTGTCTCTATAAACTTCCGCATACAACAACTTAAAAAATAGAATAAAGCCTGAAATTCTGTCAGCCAAGAAAATAGACCTTACATGCTGGATTCACTAAAATTTTTTCGAGAAATGATTTTTTCATGCAAACACTTGTTTTCACTTTCTATTAAAAAAAAAAATTTCGAACCTCCTCTTTTCTATTTTAACCTTAATATATTCTAAAAAGTGTTAAAATTTAAATAACCCTTATCACCAAATCTTCAATATATGAATGTCATACATATGCCATATGAATTTTCTATCAATCACTTTTCTTTGAAAACATCTCCGTTTTTTAACTTATGACCTTGGTGACTTGGTCTATTTCTTTGAAAACATCAATCTTTTAACCTTATTACCCTTGGTTTATGACGTCTCTGATCCAATCAGCCTGTCCAACCAACTAGTCGAACCAAGATCCGATCAATTGACCGGGTCTTTTAAAATAATGATTATAATAACAGAATGCAAAGCTCCAACTATGTTATGTAAAGAAAAACTTTTTCAATAGGCTAACCGCTAAACTACACAGATGCCTGTTTCAAGCAAATGCATATTGAAATCTTATGTTCGTAGAGGCAGTTGTAAGAGTTTGATAAGGTTCACAGGAAAAACGGCCAGAGAAGGAAATACAAAGGGACCAAGGAGCAGAGTTGATGAGTTTTTGAACACCATTGATGCAGTTGGAGCTATATTTTTCAACACATCAGTTGGGAAGTCGCAGGATGGGTGTGAATGAGGAAGAGAAGCTGTAAGATTTGAATGGCTAAAGATGGGTAGCTAAGGCTTATTTGTGCGTGAGAATCCAATGATCACACTATTCAATCCACTGCCTATTGCATTTCCACGAAGATTGCACAAACACAACCATTGGCACAAAAATGCTCTTGAAAATCATTCACCTCTTTACATTGATATTAAAGTTATACAATAAGAATACAAATCCGACTCTGTATCTTCACTTTTTCATTTCATAATCCTTTTTTTCCGAAGCCTTCTATCTCCACTGGATGGAAAAGATGGCAAACAAAACAGTCTCGTGTAGGAAATTACATGCACTTCCCAAAAGTATGAAGAAAGGAACAACAGGCTTGTATCATCGATTTACTCATTTGACAATTGGTTTAACTGCTTTCTCAGCAGCAGCATCCAGATCTTCTCGCTGTATATTTCCTGCAGACAATTGAAATATTCAATGCTGGCCATCACCAACAATTTTCTGTTGTTCTTTCCATTTTCACATTATGGGAGAAATAGGCCATCCTTCCACTTATTCCAAGTTAGCATTCACAGAAAAAGTTTGGAATAAAAGGCGAAAATGTAACTATTATAGAGAGATGAGTAAATGACTGAAGTACAAATTCAGGTGCTGAAAAGGGGAGATAGTTTAAAGGGTAGAACCTAAAACAACCCAGTACAATTCATGCATTTAAAATGGTAAGAATTGGTTACATAAAATCCAAAACAATTTAATGCACTGCTCAACTGTTTAGCAGTATTGACAATTCCGCTCGCAATTACATCACCCTTCATTATTCCTCCAAATATGTTTACCAAATTGGTTAAATTTTCTCCATGGAAGTTAATATAAATGCCTCAGCCACCTGTTCCACATAATTATTGAATAAAAAATGAACCCAGATGGCACAAAGAAAAAATAAATACATTACTACTGGATGGTCAGACCAGCCCTCTTATTCAAAATCATTGACAGAGCGGAATACTAACACAATACAACAGTAAAACAGAGTATTAATCATTACCTGCCTACGTCTAGAGAATTGTACCATTGCTAATCCAGCACTATTACCATACAATTAAGTTTATGCTCACTTCCATTAATGCCCTTACAAAAGATTACCACAATTTCTTTACTAGTTCAATAGTATCATTCTATCGTGCCTTGGGTGCTACACCATCTACACCTTTAGCACATCTTCATCAAGGTTGTTTTGAAAACATCATACGCACCTATCAGAAACAAAGATGTGTCAGCTATATAACAATGTTGCACTCAATGGTCATGCTAAATCACAAAAGATGAAGACGACAATTACACCAAGATGAAGATGAAATTGAGTATCATTACTCTAACCTAATATCATATCAGAATTAATTACATTCAGAAGTTAATACACTGCTTGGTGTTCACGGCTACTGTGAAACATGTTAATCCAACAAGAAAAACTACAAAACTCAACATAAAAGGTACCTAAAGGCTCAAGACTCTAATATTCAAAATAATAAAAGAGATTTTCACCAACATCAACAGACAGCATCTGTGAATTGAATACTGAACATATTATTTAGTATACCCACCCTCTCATGGTTTTTGGGATTGAGAAGCAACACTAGAGTGGACACAATCAATGAAAAATTCACCATCGCCCATTCATCTCAAGATTAACTCTAATTAAGAGGATTGAAATGTGAATTGCAGTCAATAAAACAACATGATTTAATTTACCCATCAGGTTTTTAGTAAGACCTATCTCCAAAATAACTTCACATATTGACTTCTTCATTAAAGGATTCACATAAATACAATTACCACTATGATGAGCAACAAACCTTTACATGGAAACTTTGACATCTGACAAGGCTCTCGTCATAAGTTGTACTCCCCTGGAGATACAATTACTCGACAATCAACGTCCTGTTGGTTCTTGGCTAGAGAATGACAGAAGCAACTTTAAGAATTTGAGATAATTTTCATCCTTCCCAGTAAATCTACAATTATTGAAGCTATGGATGCATCTAGCTTCAGATTTCTCTCATTCATTTTGTGAAGAAGTTCAACCACTTTTGAAGTCTCATTATTCTGCAAGAAACCAGACATAAGTGTACCAAATATGAGTACATCTGGAGCACAACCGTTTTGCTCCATATTGATAACAAATTACTTGCCATTTCTATTTCCCTCTTTACAAAGTCCATCATCAGAATGTTATTGCACAACATCTGGAACAAAGCCTTATTTCGCAATCTGTGAAACAGTTCCCAAGCAATTTTGAGTCTCCCTGTTTTACACAACCCATCAATGAGACAACTGAAAGTTTTTATGTCAGGTTGAATGTTTCCATTTTTTAAAGTATCAAACAGTTCAACAGCCTCCAAAACACAACCATTTTGCAAAATCCATCAATGAGAATATTATACGTAATTAAATCGGGATGATCATTATTGCGTTGCATCTCACCAAATAGTTTCCTTGCATGTCGACATTACCAATCATAAAAAGCCAGTCAGCAAGGTGCTATAAGTAACAACTGTTGGCCTAACTGCCTTTGAAGTCATTTCCCTATAAAGACTCATAGCTTCATCAACTTTACTATTCTTACTATACCAATTGATCAGAGTATTGTAGGTAACTACATTAGGTAAGCATCCTTATTCAACATCGAAGCAAACAACTCTTTAGCATCATCAATTTTATTTGCCAAGCAAAAACCGTCCATCAAAATATTGTAGCTAAAACATCAGGCTTACGCCCTTACTCGCCATAGAATCAAATAGCTTTCTTGCATCATCAATTCTACCTTCCAAGCAATAACCATTCAAATTGGTTCAAGTTATTGTTGGGATGAACACCTCTATTAATCATCAGTTGGAGCAATCCATTGGCTTCATCCATCTTTCCATTCTACAAAGATCATCCATTACCACACTAATGTCACTACATTAGGTTGTACACCTTCATCCAACATCTCCATAAACAAAGCTTTCGCCTCCTCCCCATTAGATGTGTTACAACGACCATAAATTAGAGACCTGTAAGAACAACTTTTGGATTAATGCCCTAGTCTTCATTTCTGAAAACAGTTCTTTTGCCTTGTCTATTAACCCATATTTGCAAAGACCATCAATGATACTATATAACAAACAGATTAGGCTTACAAATGACACCAATTCACCATTCCCATTAACCATTTCTTCAATAACTGAAGGGCATCAGTGATATTGCCTGTTCGACACAACCAGTAATCAAAGTCCCAAATGTAATTACGTTAGGCGTACAACAAAAGAACCCATTTTCCTAAGCAACTCAATCACCTTTAATCTTACCTTCCATACAAAGACCATTAATGAGACAATTAAAAGTCACAGCATCTGGGTAAAAAGCCCTCCTAAAAATACTCCCAAAAATAACAAAACCATCATAAACCCTACCTCTTTTGCATAAGATATTGATGACAATGTTCAAATAATAAAATCAGACAATAGCCCACCGCGATACGAACCTCGAGTACAGCGAAAGGAGTTGATCATAGTGTTGTTTCTTAGCGAGTGCAGTAAAGAAAACACGGAATGAGATAGCAGGAGTGGGTGCATATGAATCATGTAATCGAAGAAATAAAGAGCTTCCTCAAGGGAGAAGTTACCAAATTTGCAGTTTACATGGAGGAAATTATGAAGTTGAGGATGGTGTTTAAAAGTAAGGTGTGTGTTGGGTGATTTTGTGAGTTGATTTTGGGAAACTGAAAATGAAGATGAAAATCTAAGTTTTAAAGCGATTTTGAAGAAACAACGAAGTTTTAACAAACATTTTCGACTGAATTTGAGAGGGGATTTGAGAATTGTGAAGGGGAGGAGTTGTTGATTGGTTAAGCCATCCTTCCTTGATTGCCAAATTGGTAGGGCGGCTTGTATATTAAAAACGTTTTATTAAAATATAATTCATAATATAATTTTCATATAAATATATACAGTATTTTACTTCAAAAGGAAAAGAAAACAATAACCCATAAGATAATTTAAACAATAATAATTATTCATAAATATACTTTAAATCCCACCGAATCTCTTTCCAAATCATTTATCATCCGCACAAAGTAGTGTTATGCCAAATTGAAGATGCAAATAACCTTGGGAATCATCAGATGTTGCAAGGTGAGTTAGGTGACTAGTCTTTTTTATCTTCGATTTGTTTTTGTGTAACTACTAACTGCACTATGCTCAATAATATGCAGGACTCTTTATATGATCCATATTTTTTATTATAAATAATTTATCTATAAAATAAAAATTTATATACTCTTTATTTTTTAAATATAAATTAAAGAATAAGTTAACTCTTCATATTTAGAGAGTAAAATTTTACTTTTTATCCTAATTTTTATTAATAAATTATAAGTTTTTAGATATTTTATGTATTAATTTTTTCTCCTATTAAATATCTTTCTTGAAAAAACAAAAAACATTTTTCCTTCCCACAATGGTCTTTAAAATAAAGAGGACAATCTGATTTGAATAAAAAAATTATTCTTTAAGAAATTTTGGATTATTTGAAAGTTAGATTACCTTGAAAATTACTGAGAATCTTTAAGAAAATGTTGGGCGATAGTTGCCAGCGGCAGGTGGGTAGGGGTGGTGGGCTGGTGGCGTGAGTGGGCTACAATTTGTTTTGAATTCAAGGGTAATTTTGTCAAAAAAATTAATTAATTAGGGTGAAATAATAAAAGTCATATTCATGTAAATAAATTTAAAAATAAGGGCATTATTATCCTAAAAATAACCTTGGGAATCATCCGATGTAGTAAGGTGACTAGCCTTTTTATCTTCCGTTTGTGTCGATTTGTGTTTGTGTTTGTGTTTGTCTAACTACAACTACACAACTATATATATATATATATTAAGTGCATTTTCAAATGATTTTTTATATGATTCAGATTCTTTATTATAAATAGTTTATCCATAAAACAAGAGTCTACATACTCTTTAATTTTTAAATATAAATTAAAAAGTGAGTTTGACTTTTCACATCTAGAGAGTAAAATTTCATTCTCTATTCTAATTTTAATTAATAAATTACAAGTTTCTTTATATTTTATTTATTAATTTTCTCTTTTATTAAGTACCTTTCTTAAAGGAAAAAAAAAAAAAAAAAAAGTTTTTCCTTCCTACAATGTTCTTTAAAATAAAGAGGACAATTTGATTTGAATAAAAAAATTATTTTTTATATTTAGAAATTAATGAAATGTTTTTCATTTATACATAGATGTTCTTTAAAATAAAAAACACTATCGAATATATTATGATGTGTTTCCTTTTAAAAGTTTTAGTTTTGAACTTTAAATTTTTACTGGTTAATCGTTATCCCATTTGGGGGGCGTGGTTCATGAAATGTTAGATTACTGAAAAGTTAGATTACCTTGAAGATTATTAGGAATCTTTAGGAAAATGTGTTTGATTAATTGGTGGGTATGTTATATTAATATGTTTGGTTGAGATGAATAAATTGGTAGGTATGTTGTTTAAATTACTGAATTATCTTTTAATTAAATATTATTATTATATTATTTTTTAACATTGATTATTATTTGGATTACCATAACCCCTCTGCATTTAAAAACTTAGCAAAAACAACCCCATAATAAAAGTTTGGAAAATTAACAAAGCACCCCCACCAACCCAGCCACTACTAGCCGCCGACAACCACCGCAGGCTGCCGACAGCTGACAACCTAACGGCGCATGGAAGGCAGGAAATAGATCTAGCTAGAAATGTCCAGACGTGACAAATCTGGCTGTCGACGGCCATAGACGTGGCCGTTAACGGCCATCGATCTGGCCATTTTCGGCCAGATATCTGGTCGAAAATGACCATATCAGCACACGACGACCATTTTCGGCCTTCCATGCACCGTTTCGGCTGCGGCGACGGTTGGCCGCAGTGGTGGTTGCCGGCGGTAGGTGGGTGGGGGTGGCGGCTTGGGATGAACTGCAATTTGTTTTGAATTCAAGGGTAATTTTGTCCAAAAAGTTAATTAATTGGGATGAAATAGTAAAAGTTATATTCATGTAAATAAATTTAAAAATAAGGACATTATTGTTCTAAAATTTTATTAATAAGGGATAGAATTGTAACAAAAAAAAAGATTGTCCTCGTAATCTTAGAATACCTAAGAAAATTAAGGTAATTAGATTACCTCCAATATTACCAACAGTAACTACTATTGGTATTTGAAGATTACCAGAATTTTATATTATTTGACAACCAACTTGACAACCAAACGTGATAATAAAGTAATATAAGATGACATAACTCTAGTAATCTCATATTACCCCGAACCAAACGCCCCCTTATACATTAATTGATAGATTGATTTCCCAGTACTGATTCTGATTAATTATGTACTTTCTTTTAGAGGTTGTTCACAGGGCTGCAAATAAAGGTGCAGTTGAGCTGAGTCGCCGAGAGAAGCTTGAGACTTGAGAGGTTTGGGTGCCGATTCAAGCAAGGCTCGTGAGCCTCCACAAGCTCCAAAGGGTATAGGTGCAATTTTTTCAAGTATGAGGGGTATAATTTTTACCATTTCGCATATAGATTTTTTTTTATTTTCAAAAACCTAACTTCTTCTTCATCCAACACTTCTCCTTCTCTTTTCTTCTTCTCTTTCCTTCTCCTTCCCTTTAGCTCTTCTGCCTTGGATTTGTCTTCTCCAATGCCTCTAGCTAACTCATCACAAACCTGCTCCAATATTTCTTTCGCCCTCTTCTCAATCTCCAGTTCTTTTGTTGTTGTTGACAATGATGATTTCGTCTCCGCCAATTCTTTTCCAAGCTTCTTGTTTAATCTCTCTGTTTGTCGCCTAAGCTTCTTCTCCACTTCAAGCTCTTCTGCTATGCATGTTATGGCATGGCGAATCCTGTCTGGTGAGCTTGCAAGCTGTGGCGAGTGAGCTCGCGTAATGAAACCAGATTAGTGAGCCCCACTAACAATAATTTCTTCTTCTTTTCTTTTTTTCTTCTTTTATTTTTTGGTAAAATCTAAATCCTGCATTCGTGTTCATAGTCTATTTCCCCTTCAGTTTTGTTCATAGTCAACTTCTCTTCCAATTTCTTACACACAATATTTTTATTCCATTCAACTTCAACTTATATGATAATTAGAAACATAGTAGAGAGTTTAACCATAGTTTAAACGTGAGTTAAACTGAATTTTTTAAAATAACCCTAAGACCAGGACAGTTGATGGGAGTATCCATTGTTGTTTTATTATATTATTTGATTATGTTTGTTTTAATATTTTTCAATATCTTATTCTTACTATTTCCAAAAACACGTTTGTTTCCTTGTCCTGAAAATACTATTATATTTTATTCAACTATTTTTAAACTTCTAAATTTATTAATTTAACTAAATATCCAAAAAAAATTTAGAAATTGACAAAAACACCTCCACCCACCCGCATTTGCCATATTCTGACTACCATCGCCGAAAGGTGGCCGAAATCTGGTATAATGGCGCACTACCGGCTGGATCTGGCCAGTAGTGTGCCAATATAGCCTTTTTCGACCAGATCCACCGTGGATTTGACTGGAAAATGCCAAATCTACGACCAAAGATAGTCGTCAATGATGGCCAAGATATAACCGTCATTGACAACCAAACGTAGCCAGATCTGACCGTCAATGGCTAGATCTAGCCGTAGATCTGACATTTTTCGGCCAGATCTACGGTGGATCTGGCTGTTGTTGACGACCAAACATAGCTAGATCTAGCCGTCAATGACTAGATCTAGTTGTACATCTATCCTTTTTCGGCCAGATTCACAGTGGATCTGGTTGGAAAAGGCCACCTCGGTACATGATCGACCAAATCTAGTCAGTCGTATGTCGATACGGTGACTCTGACCACCCTCCAACGGCAGTGGACGATTGCTGGTATTCAATAGGTGGTGGGGGTGTTTTTTTAATTTTTAATATTTTTATTACAGGGTTATTTAATAAATTCACAAACCTAGAAGGTGTTTTTGGTAATTTTCATATCCTACCTTGTTATTTCCTCATGGGCATTATTGGTGGTGGCTAAGGCTGTGCAAATCTGGATATCCGATCCGAATAGGGCTTTTTCTGATCCGATCTGAATTTTCGGATCAAGCTATTTGTTGATCCAAATCCGATCCGAGTTATGTGGATATCCGGTTTTCCGGATATCCAATTATTCAGATCGGATAATCGGATATCCGAATTTTATCCGAATTTTAAGATTTCCTTATTAAAATCAAATAATTCAATCCTTCATTGGGCGTTCAATGAACTACAAACATAAGCAGTTAGAATGTGTCACATTTCATAGGAACAACATCAAAGTGAACAATAATAATAATCTAAGATGCAAACAGTTTCAATGAACTACAAACAATAAGCATCACTGCAGCACAAGGAAAACCAAAGGGCAAAAATGCTCCTGTGGCATTTACATCAAAAAGACAGCAAGAGAAAAACAAGGGACTTTTTAAGTAAATGCTAGATTGACCATAAGTCTTGTCCTTTGCCACCCCACGTAGAAAGACCAAGGTGCTCCAATTCATCACTACACAAAAGGAAAAATATTATGTCAAACAATGAAAAATAACAACAATAATATTGCTTTGAAACAAGTAAACCCACCTCTGCATCTGCATCTCTCCCCACCAACTTTGGTATTGCCATTCACACCTCTGGGCATCTTCTGTTACAGTAACAAATAAGAGGAATTAGACGAAGATCTTAATCAAACTAACAAACCCCTGAGCTGGTATAAGAGATTAACCATCCATTGATTCTGAATCTCTAAATTCCTCAATGCCTAGCTTATACTATAACAAACCATCCCTACACATCTCTGAACCAACTCCCACATATTCTAGTCACCGTCTCCCATAAAATCTTTCTGCATACTTAGATGAAACTAATCCTTCAGTAATGACAGCCTTTTGGTACACACTAGTCATTAGGTAAATAACAGTAAACTTAACTAAATTGGGTTAGTAAATAAAATGGGTATTTTTCTTTTTCTTTTTTTTTTTTGCTTTTGTCACCATTCTTAAGTTTTATGGTCTTGTGTGATTACATTTTCTAGAACCAGATTAGCTTTTGATAGTAAAAATGGGTATTTTCATTTTTCATTTTTCTTTAATATATGCAGCAGCTCATTCGCCCAAGGTCCTAACACATGCGAGAGAAATCTCAGATGCTTGGCTTTGAAACACCTGGGTCTTGTAACATTGAAGGGTTTGATTATAAATCTTTCTCAGGGCAAAATACTGAGTTCATGCCTGTTCAGGACAAATTATCTTCACCTCCAATACTCATAAATTAAAACACTTCTATTTTTCCAATCAAACAAACAGCCCACCAATGGCTGGATTTACCACATCAACAATCAACACATTACATAATCAACATCAAATAACCATCAACAACATAACATAACAACATTTTTTATTCAACAATATAATTGAATTGTATGTGAGAAAAGAATCATATTCTTGGTAAAACTAATTAAACAATAAAAATCATATTGTACCTTTTGGGAGGCTGCAATACAAAATGACATAGAAAGGTCTTAGTAACAATCATCTAGATGAACACAAGAATTTTCCATTGCCAAAGATGAAATCCCTACAAAAAGTTGGACAAAAACACAATATGAGTAATGATACCAAATATATTCAACACGAAAGATATAAGTTATAACTAAATATTAATTATTTGAAAATAAAGCAAAATTTTGACCTGACTCAATTTCCAATATTTCATCCAAGCTCTCCTCATTGACAAACGGTGTACGCGTAGCCCGAATCCAATCTTGTGTATAAATAAGAGCTTCCACTGTCTTAGGAGTAAGAGAACTACGAAAGAATCTAATATCGACCCCCAGTACTAAAAGCTGACTCCGATGCAACAGAAATAGGCATAGCCAAAACATCTCGTGCTATCAAAGAGAGAATTTGATATCTTGGTGAATTCACTTCCCCCAAGTCAAGATATCAAAGTTCTCGTTTCATCATCTTCACATGCTTTATTTAAATATTTTTCCAACTCAGATTAGGCTCCAAAGCATGTTGTCTAGCCTTTTCATCTTTAAAAATGCCTTCATGATGACTTGAGGAGCAACATTTGCATCAGTCAAATAAATGTTTTTGCAAGTTTAGTTTGTTGACTTGATTGCACACTGGGAGAAGCCTTAGCCAAACTATATTCCTTAAAATAGAGCAAACAAAGTGTCATGCACTTTTGTTTTGAGTTATTGGCTTTTTCAGCATCTACAACATCAATAGCCCAATATACATATTTTAACTTTTTGTTGGGATCCAATACTCCTGCAATGAATAGCATTATGTTGATATTATCAACCTTCCCCAATATTTGTCATGTTTTCCTCTCATTTTCGCTACCATCAAACGTAAGCTCGGATCATCATTGTACACCATATCAAAATCTTCAAGCTAATGCCATATATCTCCTCCATGTGTACATTAGTGGTAACATAAAGGGAACCTGACACACGTAGAGTTGCATCATAAAAAACTTTCAAAAAAGGTAATGAGTATCGAGCATATTCCAATCAAATTGTGTAGGCAACCCTTTGACTTTTCCCGCTAGTAAGCTTTCTCTATACTTATATCTTGGATCTAACAAGTAAATGCTTTCCTAAATTTTAAAGCAACATCCAACCTCAAGGAAGTGGAGTTCCACCTGTTTCTACATCAAGAACTAAAAGACTTTTTATTTCAATTTTTTCTTGCTCCACACACTCCTAAACCTATGTAATCTCGCTGGAGAAGACCTCCCATATCTCAACTGCAGAACGAATTCTAAATATTGAGTCATCCATATTTTAACCCCTCTTTGATAGTTAAACTCAATAAATGTGCACAACATCTCATGTGAAGAAAAGAACCATTCAACAAACTTCCATTCCAACGTTCTAACCGTTTTTTAAGATAAGCTATCCCAACAGTTAGAACTTGCATTGTCAACCGTCACGGTGAACACTTAGAAATACCCCAATCAATCAAACATCTTTCAATTGACTTTCCAATAATTAAACCTTATGGTCGTAATCGGCAAAAAGTTCAAAATTCTTTGTTATTCCACTCATCATCAATAAAGTGAGCGTAAGACACATGTAATTAAGATTTTGAAAGATGTCCAGTTATCAGTGGTTAGACAAACACTATGAGAGTATTTACTAAAATAGTTTTTCAACTTTTGTCTCTCACAACTAAATACTCAAACAATCCCTAGCCACAGTAGTACGAGAGGGAACTTGAAACCTCGTTGTGTTACACTCATCATGTATCGGAACCCTCATGCTCCACTGCCTAAACGGTAATCATCAATAATTATCATTTTATCTACAGCCTGTCTACTACATATCTTGATCGAATCCAAGTTATAATGGAATGGGGTGTGGAGGGGGAAGTAGGTGCAACACCACTAGCAAAGTCACCTGAGAGTTGTTGAAAAACTAAAGTTTTTTGTCTCTTGTCCGCTAAATTAAAGGGTATTTATTACACGGTTTAAGTGATTACGTAGACACAGTAGTACCACTTTTACTTGCACAACCAAGACTAGTCCACATAATTACATGAAGCCGTCATTTTCTCCTTATTCTCACTATCATTTTTAGAGAAATGGTTCCACACATCAGAAGCATTTTTCCTGTACTATAGTAGTAGAACTTACACGTTTGGTGCTCGTGGTGGTGGTGGTAGTGGTAGTGTTCCTGGTAGAGACACGACATTTTCAGGAGTAGGACTCACATTGTCACTTGTCACCGTGTCGATGTATGAACGGCATTTGAAGTCCCACAAGTAGTACTATTATTTTCACAGGTAGATGACATCTACATTATCAATACAAAAGAATATATCATAAGACATTTGAATCACGTAGACACGCAAATTAGACAAGACTTAATAAGTTTCACAATATATAATGCAAATGGTAATATATCAATTCTGTAGGGCAATTTGGGTTTTAAGTCTTGTGATATCTCCATCTAACTTAGTTGTTCTTAAAAGAAATCAGTATGAATATAAATGCATAAAGAACTGAGCTGTTCTTAATAATTTGGCTAGCAGTTAGAAGTAGTAGAACGTTGTCTTGAAAGGGTAGGTTGATCTTAACCATTTTGTAGATATAACTTATCAAACAATCAACAATATGCTGAAATTATTAAATTAACGTAATTGACATTTGACATGCATAAATAAACGTCCATGATGCTTCCAACTGAAGGGTGGTCAAAATTTACTTAAGCCAGCGCCATGCATTGACAATATTCATCACTGTAATGTTCAGATTACACAATCCAACCCAAATTAACCACAACAGGTGGTTAGAAACACAAATCAAACAAACAAAATCAAACCAGTCACTAAGTTTGAATCAAATCCAGCCACCAACAATCTTTGGAAACACACATAAAACCAAACCCAATCGGCACAGTTTGAATCAAACCCAGCCTCCATCAACCTTGTAATTCAAAACGCAGATCAATAATTCAATACTAATGAACAATAGAAGGTTTGTAACCGGGACAAAGAGAGAAGGCACCATATTACTGTGCCATTAACATCAAACTTAAATCAACATCAAAACAAAAACACCCATCAAATTGTACCATTAAGTCATTAACAAACCATCACCAACAATAATAAAGAAATAAGCACCACGAAATCGCACCAGGCTATTACAGCGTGGTGGCAGTCGCCCTAGGCTGTGACAACAATCGATTTGGGGCTTCAATCGTTAGAGAGACTGAGATCTGAGAGTGTTCGAGCGAGAGAGAGTGAGACACCAAGAGAGTTGAGAGTGTTAGAGCGAGAGAGAGTGAGACACCAAGAGAGTGGCTGACTGACTGTGTGTCTGTCTGTGCGTATTCGAGCGAGAGAGACCGAGTGAGTCAGAGAGTTGAGCGAGAGAGACAGAGTGAGATTGAGATGAGATCTGGTGATTCTAGTCTGAGAGAGTGAAAGGCTTAAGGCTGTGCGTGTTTGAGGCTTTCAGCGAGAGAGGCAGTGAGAGATTGAGACGACAGACGAGATCTGGTCTGAGAGAGTGAAACTGTGACTCCGTGAGAGGCTGTGCGACTGTGCATGAGAGCGAGACTGCGTGTTCGTGATCGAGCGAGAAAGACACTGAGACAGAGAGTGAGTATTTTTCGTTGGAGACTTGGAGTATAGACTATAGACAGACTGTTAGTGACTTAGTGTTACTGTGTTATGGTGAATTTAATTTTGAAAACTCAAAACGACGTAGTTTAGCAAAATCCGGATCGGATACGGATATCCGATTTTTTAATAATCTCGATCCGGTATCTGATCCGAATATTCAAATTTTGCTAAATTCTAATCCGTATCCGATCTAAATTTTCGGATATCCAAATTTTTTAGAACGGATTAGGATCGGATATCGGACATCGGATTTTTTTGCAATGCCCTAGTTGTGGCTGGCGGCTGGTCAATTAACAAAGGAAGTTACGTAATTCCTCGCGTCAGAAATTTTTCTGGGAACCCCACCACTGTCAGGTGCATGATTCATCTTCGCATTTTCGTATTTTTTATCACGCTTATTGCTCTTCTTCTTTGTCTCCTAACATCATCACTCTATAAATACTCTCCTTCACCACACTCATTTTCACAACTCAAAACAATTCAACACTCTTCTTTCTAAAACGGGAATTAAGCTCAATTCAAACATGTCTGAAGAAAGTCCTCGTATTCCTCTTCTCACCCCTTACAAGATGGGTCCTTTCAATCTTTCTCATAGGTGGGCCCATTTTCTAACTTTGGAATCTTACATTGTGCACCCTTTTTTACTCCATTTTCTGTTGGTTTTCGTTGATGGGTTTTGATTTTTATGATGTTCTGACTTCTGGGTTATTAAGCTTTTGCTTTGTTGGGTTCTTAACTTCTTATATATTGGCAAAAGCAGGGAAGGAGCCACTAAGTGCTGAGTGGGGTCTCATGCCCCCACTGACTCATAATGGTTTTGTTTAATGGGTTTGGATTAATATGATGTCCTGACTTCTGGGTAAGCTTTTGATTTGTTGTTTGGATTATATAGTGGCAAAAGCAGAGAAGGGGCCACTAAGTGCTGAGTGGTTGAGTGGGGGCTCATGCAACCCACTGACCTTTGAAAATTCTGTTATTTTCCTTCTATTTTGTCTTTGTAAGAGAAGCCCTCTCTCTTCCATGAAAGTAGATAAGTCTTTGTGGCACCCAATTTTCCATGTTTTGATTTTTGTTTTTTCTTCAACCTCTAATATATTTTAAGCTTTGATTTTTTTCTTTTTCTCTTATGATTGCATATCAGAGTACATCAATAAAAAAAAACTACTATATTTTCTATCTTATGACTAAATTCTTCATCTACTCAAAATATGAGTATTAATTGATGCCTCAAGTTTTTAATTTTATGGTCAATTTATTTTTCTAATTTGCCCCCACTGAAACAAAATCTTGGCTCTGATACTGGGCACTAGGATCACTTAACAAATATGTAGAGATAGTCTAACTTACATTGAGATGTCATTATTTACAAAAATGATCTTTTATGCATGTTAAATTTGGTAAATCGTGTATATTTGAGAATTGTTTTGCAATTTTATGACTTTGTTTGGGTTAGAGAGTTCAGTTTTAATTTTTTGTTGGATCTAATTGAGCTTTGTGGTTGATTTTGTGTGTGTTTCAGAGTTGTTTTGGCACCATTGACTAGACAGAGGTCTTACGGTAATGTTCCTCAGCCTCATGCCATCTTATATTACTCTCAGAGAACCACTAAAGGTGGTTTTCTCATAACTGAAGCCACTGGTGTTTCTGACACTGCTCAAGGGTAATTAATTTTGTTTATACATGTATTAGATTAAAAGGGTACTTACATTTGAGGTTTCAATGTGAATTTTCTGGATTAAAATTTGATAATCTCTTTTGTTTGTTTGATTTTTTAGGTATCCACATACGCCTGGTATTTGGACAAAGGAGCAAGTTGAAGCATGGAAGCCAATTGTGGATGCTGTTCATGCCAAAGGTGGTATCTTCTTTTGCCAGCTTTGGCATGTGGGAAGAGTTTCAAATAAAGGTTTGTTCTATTTCTCTGTCTTTTGTGTATTGTAATGGTTGAATGATACATGGGTTTATCAAATTTTGTAAGAGCTCAATTGCTACTCTTGATTTGTTTACAATAATGAAGTCATGAGTTCAGATCAAGGGGGACGCACTGTGAGCTCCACTGTTTGAGGTTGGACGTTACATGTTTTCAATTCCCTGAAACATTTCGTCGCGTATTATGTCTTTTCTTGTGTCAGGGTTTATCTTCATACTGAGTTATGTAGTCGCATTACTGAGAAAATTGGGTGGCATAACACCTCTAAGCAGCAAAATGTGAGAACTGAAATGTTAAGAGCATAAGTTAATTCAGGTTAATGGAATCCTCAACCTAAGAACTGAAATAGATGTACAGATCAGATGCATACTTCTTAGCTTTTCATTTCAGTTTTTAGTGTTATGTTTCAATTGTACTTGTTTTGATCAGATCTTTTATTAGTTCTTCCTGTCTTGTCTATGCAGATTTCCAGCCTAATGGTCAAGCTCCAATCTCCAGTTCGGACAAGCCATTGACGCCTCAAATTCGATCTAATGGCATTGACGTTGCACAGTTCACACGTCCAAGGCGACTAAGCACGGATGAAATCCCCCAAATTGTGAATGATTTCAGGCTTGCTGCAAGGAATGCTATTGAGGCTGGTAATCCTTCTTCCACAATGAAAACATAAATTTTTTTCTAGTCTAGATATTCAGGTTGCTAATGTCGTGCGCATGTTGTATAGGTTTTGATGGAGTCGAGATCCATGGTGCTCATGGTTACCTAATTGAGCAGTTTATGAAAGATCAAGTGAATGACCGGATAGACCAGTACAGTGGATCTCTCAAGAACCGTTGTCGGTTTGCTCTAGAGATAGTTGAAGCTGTTGCAAATGAGATAGGAGCAGAGAAAGTTGGGATAAGGCTATCTCCCTTTGCAGACTTCATGGAATCAGGGGACTCAAATCCAAAAGTATTAGGTCTCTACATTGCAGAGTCCTTAAACAAGTATGACATTCTCTATTGCCACATGGTTGAACCCAGAATGAGAGCAGTTTTAGAAAAATGTGAATGTCCTCACAGTTTACTGCCCATGAGAAAGGCTTTCAAAGGTATTTTTCTCGTCGCCGGTGGTTTTGACAGGGAAGATGGAATCAAGGCTATAGCTGAGGGTGGTGCGGATCTTGTCGTTTATGGTCGTTGGTTCTTGGCTAACCCTGATTTGCCTAAGAGATTTGAGCTCAATGCCCCTCTCAATAAGTACCATAGAGATACATTCTATACAGATGATCCTGTTATCGGTTACACAGATTATCCATTCCTTGAAAGGATTGCTTAGGTTTTTAATGAAGTTAGAGAATTTGAACTTGTTTTATTTTTCATTGTGATTTGTATTTTAATTCTACTTTATTTCTTGTACCTTTTGAGTGTTATTATTGTGCATTGTATAAGTTCAGAAAATCACCCAGTTGGTAATAAAATTATAAGGCCAAGGGCAACTTTTTTTTTGGGGCATATATTTATAGCTACAGTTATTTTGATGCTTATAAAGTAAATTTACAAACAACTATATGATATAGAATTATATATTTTCTCATATTTTACTATTTAATCTTTCATTTAAATGGTTTTACTACTGCACTGAGTACTAACCAATAGTGTTCACTTTATGAAATGTTTACTTCACTCTACTTTCAGGGGAATGGGCAACGAATGGCCCTTTCTTGTTTACTTCAACAGGTTAATACTTAATAGAGAAATGGCATTCACCCTAAAATTTTAATTTGGGTGGAATGCCCATTCTAAAATTTTAAGGGCATTTGTTGGGTCAAAATGCCCACTTTGCCCCGTTTCAAATTTTTTTTTTTTTTTTTTTCTACCGTTTGAAATATTTTATTTAAACTTTAATTATTTTTTTATTAACTTAAAATATTAAAAAAATTAAATTATTATTTTGCCTCACCATTACAACTAGGACAATTGTCAGTTGCTTATAGCCATTGTTGGCATGATTGTTGTCAAAATCACCGTTGACGTGTTGAGAGACTAGCTATTAACGATCTATCGATTAACGCAAGTGTTGGCCATCAAAGACCGCCAGATTAAAGTGATGCACGGCTATTGACCTATTGGTCATCATGCATGATGTCATTCTGTAGGTGTTCCATGATTAAAATACCAAATCATCAACCATTGGACTTGCACGCATTGACAATGACATCGATAACGTGAAAGAATGTCGTTGTCTAACAATGTTAACCAATTTTTAAATTTTTTAGTTTTTATTTAGATTAAAAAAGAATAATTTTATCTTTGTTAAATAAAATTAAAAAAAATATCATATTAGTTTTATTTATAGTATTTTATGAAATATTTTAAAGAGAAATGTTAGATGTACACATAATCTTTGTATAAAGTGATGTGACAACTGTCATATTATAAGTTTCATATCAATATTTTTTTTCTTTTCATAAATAGGTGTTGTGATAATTGCTACACTATTTTGTACAAAGACTTTTTGTAAGAGTTTTTATACATTTAACATTCTTCTATTTTAAATTATGAGATGAATTTTGTTTGAGGAATTTTTAATGGATTTCATCATGTGATAAAATGTACAAGTTAAACATATATATACAGTACAATCATTTATATTAAAGGGTATTTTCGTCCAAAAATACTATTTATTTATAAAATAAACAATATAATCACATTTTATTCTTTCGTGTATTTACTTTCCCATCTCCATCCTCGTTCTTATTATGGTGTGACATTATCATTGGGTAGAACTTTCCAGAATTGAACGAAATATTCAAGAAATTAACGGGAATTGGTAATCAAATTGTCCATATTATCCAATACGTAAAGTACTTGCGTTGGCCGTTGAGCAGTTTTGACTTTTCATATGGGTCCCTGTTGCCCCTTTTTGTTCTGAGAACATAAAGTCGTAACGGCTAACGTCAGTGACAGTCACTGCTCACAATTCCCACTATACCCCTCTGTACGTTCCCCAGTTTACGGCCTGGTTCATGACTCAGGGCCCCTCATTAATATTTTCACGCGGNTAAAATATCAAGTGAATGATTAGACAAACCAATATGGTGGATCCTAGAGAACTCTGCTCTCGAAAAAGTTGAAGCCATTTGAAATGAAATTGGGTCCGAAAAAGTTGGCATAAGGCTCTCTCCTTTCGCGGACTACATGGACTCAAATCCAAAAGCATTGAGCCTGTTCATGGCAAACTTCTTAAACAAATTTGGGATCTTTTACTGCCACATGGTTGAGCCCAGAACGCTGAAATCCGGGGAAAAATGTGAACATTATGAGAGTTTGAAGCCGGTGAGAAAGGCCTTCAATGGTAGTTTTATTGTGGCTGGAGGATATGATAGGGAAGAAGGAAATAAGGTTGCGGGTGATGGAAATGGTGATCTTGTTGCTTATGGGCGTTTGTTCTTGCCTAATCCTGATTTGTCGAGGAGATTTGAGCTTGATGTGCCTCTTAATAAATGAAATGAAGATACTTTTTATACCGATGATCCTATTATCGGTTACATAAATTATCCATTTCTTAAAACAATTTCCTATGAACATTGTGTAGTAAAAAATAATATAATATAAGTTTTAGTAGTGAGTTTTCTTGTGGGTGGGGTGTCAGGGGTGGCTCTTCCGGACCTAACCTAGTAAAATTTTTTGAAAAGAAAATTATGATTTTTTAGAAATTTAAATTATATTTAAAATTTTGAATTGTAACCATTTGCAAATAAAATCTTATAATCTTAATAAGTAATTCTAATTTTTCTAAAACTTCTCAAACACTTTTTATCCTCTCTTATCTTCTTTTTTCTCCTATCTTTTCTATTCTTCTCAAATTTTCAATTGTATTTATTTTCTTAATAATGTTGTAATAAATTCAATTTATCATATGGGTATCATAAGTTGACAAAAAATACTTGCAACTTTTTTTTCGTTCCTCCTCCCCATTCACTCCTCCAAGTGCCACCTTTGGGTTTTGGCGTCTGATCTTGTCGGCTTCAGAACCAGAGAGGGCGGCCGCGAATTGACCACCACTTGACCGAATTCTGATTGAATACCAATCGAACAACAATTAATTTTTTTTTTTTTTAGATTTACAATAATGATAGGTTCATAACTTTTTCTCATAAAGTTTTTTTATAACCTCGACGTAACAGTTGAGTTGGTGTTATCAAGTTAGCTCCACCATATCGAAGGTACAAAATAATTTTTACTAGAATAAAAAAACGGTTGTTTCTTTATAGGAAACGATAGTTCTTTATGAAAGAATGATCGTTACTCATGGAAAGAATGATCGTTCCTTATGAAAAAATAACTAAATGTTCCTTCTGAATAGTGTATTGGCTGCCTTAGATGTAGTGAAAGCCAACTTAAGAGTGCTAATTTGCTGCCACGTTAGAATTGGAAAAGAAAGTTATGAAAGTAAGTTATAAACATAACATTTTTGGTAGAGTTAAATAAATTTCTATTATTTTTTTCATTGGAAATATTGAATTGGTTTTGTGTTATTGTTGTTAATGATGAGGATTGAAAGCGTTGGTGGTAGGGATTTTGTGTTTTTATATAATCACGTCATTTTGTTTCGTATATTTCCATCCCTGTCTCCGTACTCAATTCTTATGAAATTAGTTATGTTGTGACATTATTAATGCGCAGGAGCAATGTTTTGAAACCCAGACCGGACCAGTCGGTCTGACCGATCCGAGCAGGTTTTGCCAATGATTCTGGTTCATTAAGTATTAAAATCCGTATTTTTATTTAAATCGTTTCTGATCGTTACTGGACCAGCAAAATAGTGTCAGACCGCCTGTCTAACCAGATCAGATGAAAATCTGGTCCAACAAATGTGTGACTGTTTTGAAAGGCAAAATCCCTGCCTTTTTTGCTTGAGCCTTCGCTTCTTTAATCTTCATTTGTTTCTTTTTTCGGCTTCCAATCCAACTTTGTTCATCTTCTCTTTCACCTTTATTCATCTTTGGTTAGATTCGAGCTTAGAAAGTGAAAGAAAAAAAGGATGGAGAAGATCTGAAGAAACAGAAGAAGAAAGAGAGAGAGAGGAAAAAAAAAAAAAAGATGAAGATGCGGAAGAAATAAGAGAAGAGGAGGTGAGAAAAGAGGAGAGAATATGAAAGAAGTAAAAAAGAGAGGGAAGATGAAGTGACCAGTGAGTGAGAAGAAAAAAGAAAAGATGACGTAACATTTGACATGTGAGAAATATATATATTAAGAAGAAAGAGAGGACGGAGAGAAAGAGAGAGGAAAAAAAAGTATGAAAGAGAAGATAGAATTGACATATGAAAAATATATATAGACTGTATATTTTGGATGATATCATCGTCTGACCCAACGAAACCGGTCACTTGACGGTGTCACTTTCTAGTTCAGATTTCAGAACATTGCATAAGAGAACATTCCAGAAGGCAACGAAAATTCTATGAGAGAATTGCTAATCAATTTGTTCATATTCATCCCATGTGTAAAGTACAGGTGTTGAACAGTTTGAATTTGGAGTTGAATTCAGCTGTTCTCAGAACATAAAATCGTAACGGCTAACGTCAGTCAGTGCTCCAATTGCAAGTTCCTTAATAAGTGTCAACATCGTTTACAATAATATCTTTTACTTTCAATTAAACAAAGATTTCCTTAATACCACATTGCATTTACATAGGTGAACTAAATAGATAGATTATTCATAATCGTCGTTTTGCATTATAAAAATTGATTACTTCGCCGTTTTGGGGAAGTAGTCGGCACTTGGCAGTCGGTCAAGATTCACAAACTGACTCACGTAATTCAATATGTCATCAAATTCTTGCAAAATTCCCTTCATATTATAATTTCATTTAATTTTAATTTCCACACTGATGGCTTTTCTTCGTCTCCCATCACCTATAAATTCTCTCCTTCACCTCACTCATTTCCACAATTTCAACAATTCCGAACTTATTTTTGTAAAACGGGACGCTCAAACATGTCTGAAGAAAAACAAACTCCACGTATTCCTCTTCTCACCCCTTACAAGATGGGTCCTTTCAATCTTTCTCATAGGTGGGCATTTTCTTACTTTGGAATCTTGCAGTTTTCACCCTATTTACTTTATATTTCTGATGGTTTTGTATGATGGGTTTTTATTAACTTGATGTTCTGGGTAGTGGGTAGGCTTTTGTTTTGACTGTTTTACTGAAGAATAATGGTTGTGGAAAATCCCTGTTTTGTCTCTTCAATTAATTTGTATTTTAAGAGTGTTTGGTTGCTGAGAAAGTGCTGGGAAAATCAGAACAAGAAACAAAAGAGGAAATCTGAAATTGAGTAGAAATGTCTACATATTTGATTTATATATTAAGACTTTTGATTGTTTTGAAAAACATGTGTGTGTGTGTTTTTTTATAAAAGTAAAATTCATTGTTTTTCATTTATGTGTAATTATATCCGTTTATACAGTGGCACAAGCTGAATCATCAGGTTAGTTGTCACTTTTCTGTTTATAAAAATACATTTCCTGAAGAAATGATCCTCTATGAATGTTGAATATGGTTGATTGGTTACAAAATTGGTGATAGAAGTGGTGTATTTGAGAATTGTTATGCAATTCTATGACTTTGTTTGGGTTAGAGAGTGCAGTTTATTTGTTGGGAATAATTGAACTTTCTGGTTGATTTTGCATTTATATTTCAGAGTTGTTTTGGCGCCATTGACTAGACAGAGGTCTCACGGCAATGTTCCTCAGCCTCATGCCATCTTATATTACTCTCAGAGAACAACTAAAGGTGGTCTTCTCATCGCAGAAGCCACTGGTGTTTCCGACACTGCTCAAGGGTAATTTTGTTTTATAGATGTATAAGATTAAAACGGTAGCACCATTTGAGGTGGAAATTTGATAAGCTCTTTTGTTTCTTGATTTCTTAGATATCCAAATACGCCTGGTATATGGACAAAGGAGCAAGTTGAAGCATGGAAACCAATTGTGGATGCTGTTCATGCTAAAGGTGGGATCTTCTTTTGTCAGATTTGGCATGTGGGAAGGGTTTCAAATAGAGGTGTGTTCTATGTCTTTGCCTTTTGTGTATTGTAAGTTGTAACGATGGAATCATTCCTGGGTTAATATTGCAGACTCTTTAATGTTTTCCGTTTCATATTCCGTTGCATACATTCAGATTGGATGAATCAAGTTTTGTTAGAACCTTTACTGCCATTGTGCAACTCCTGTGTTCACTGTCTTTTGTAATGTATATTTTGCATCATTATATACATTATATTAACTCCCTGAAGCATTTCATTGCTTATTACACCCATCCTCGTCTCTTTTGCCTATGTATTCACTTTTAAGTCTTTCCTTGTAATTTTATATACAATGGATATACTTAAATTGCTATACTATAAAAGTTAGGGTTTGTCACTATCCTGAGTTATGTAGTTGTTTTAGTCAGGAACTTGGGTAGTATATTACCCCTTGCCTCTTATCATGTAAACATGACTAAAAGAACCTATAATTAAGTGGTGAACTGTGATAAATAAATATAGCCTCAAACTGAAGCTTCATTATTTTTTCATGTTTGATCATAGAGATCTTATTTTTGAGTTACTGACAATATGTGGAAGAGTGAAAGAAAAGATTAATGTTTTTTCTTTGCTATTGATCTAAAATTTAGTTTGTTGTTGAGGGGAAGATATTTATGGATGTACAATCAGCTATGCTGAGGTTAAACAATTGAATTGCAGTAACTTGTGTTATGCAACGCAAGGCCAGCAACGGAATTGAAGAGACTGAGTTCTTACCTTCTCATTTGGTTTTTAATGTTTTGTTCCATGTTGACACTCTTGATCTTATGGAAAACCAATACTGGTTTTCATCAGATCTTTATTAGTTCTCCCATTCTCTTGCCTATACAGGTTTTCAGCCAAATGGTCAAGCTCCAATCTCCAGTACGGACAAGCCATTGACGCCTCAAATTCGAGCTAATGGCGTTGATGTTGCACAGTTCACGCCTCCGAGGCGGCTACGGACAGATGAGATCCCTCAAATTGTGAATGATTTCAGGGTTGCTGCAAGGAATGCTATTGAAGCTGGTAATTCTTTTTCTAAAACCAAAATGTAAATTGTGAGAATTAATTTTCTTTTCCAAACCAAGTAAATGGAAGAATTGATGAGCTATCATCACTTTAATTTTCTATATGGGCTTGTAGTAAACCACATCTAGTCTTATGATTCAGGTTGCTAATTTTGTGTATATGTTGTACAGGTTTCGATGGAGTTGAGATTCATGGTGCTCATGGTTACCTGATTGACCAGTTTTTGAAGGATCAAGTGAATGATCGGACAGACCAATATGGTGGATCCCTTGAGAACCGTTGCCGATTTGCTCTAGAGATAGTTGAAGCTGTTGCTAATGAGATAGGAGCGGAGAGAGTTGGGATAAGGCTATCTCCTTTTGCCGACTACGCGCAAGCAGGGGACTCAAATCCAGAAGCATTGGGTGTCTACATGGCAGAGTCCTTGAATAAGTATAATATTGTCTACTGCCACATGGTTGAACCTAGAATGAAATCAGTTGGAGAAAAATGCGAAAGTCCTCACAGTTTACTGCCCATGAGAAAGGCTTTCAACGGTACTTTCCTCGTTGCAGGTGGTTACGACAGGGAAGATGGAATCAAGGCTATAGCAGAAGGTCATGCAGATCTTGTTGTTTATGGTCGCTGGTTCATATCTAATCCTGATTTACCAAAGAGATTTGAACTCAATGCCCCTCTAAACCCATACAACAGAGATACATTTTATACAGATGATCCTGTTATAGGTTACACAGATTATCCATTCCTTGAAATTACTTCTTAGACCTTTAAGTTATAGAAGTCGTACTTGTTTGTACTATTCATTGTGCTTAATATTGTAATTCACTGTATTTTTTTTACCATAGTGTTATTTTTCTGCACTCTATAAGTGTAGAAAACTACCCTGTTCTAGTAATATATCATGGCAATAATTCTCTTCACGTGATTATTGTACAACAACAAAGCTATTGACACGATTACTTTGCATCGAAAATGTGTACTGGCTTATGTGTACCCTTGACTCACACCAGCAGTCCAGACGTCTGATTTTTCTATAAATATTTTTCTAGTGAACGGTCGTCCATCAAATATGGACGGCTGTTCACTTACATGGACTCCCGTCTATATTATATGGACGGGCGTCCATTTACTACGGACAGACATTCCTGTTTAAAGGACGCCCGTCCATAAGTAACATGAAATAATTTTTTTTTATAAAAATTAGGGACGGCCGTTCATTCGTTATGGATGTCGTCCCTTCATATTGGATGGGCGCCCGCAAATAAGGGATGCCCGTCCTTAACCAAAATATGAAAATAAAAAAAATAAAAAAAAAACTTTGGGAATGGTCATCCATAAATTTTGGAGGGCCGTCCCTTACGTTTGGACGCCCATCCATACTTTAAAAAAAAAAAAAAATTCTAAACAAAAGTCTTCTTCTTCGTCTTCATTCCCCATCTCCTCTCTTCTTCTTCGTCTTTGTTTTATGAGATAGGCGTGTCAAATTCAAAGGCTCTAAAGCCCAGAAAACTATAGAAGCAAAGAAGGGAAAACAATTTCTCTTTTAAGGTACATACCTTAAATTTCGAATCAATTTCTCCGTAGTTTTATTGTAATTGAATTATCGCTTTGTAGCATTTACATAATTGTAATTTTAGATCAAAGTTTGGTACTAAAACACCATCAAAGAGCTTTAACGCCATCAAAATGGAGGGGAACAACGACACTGTACCGATGATTGTAGTTTACGTTACTGTACCTAACAAAGAAGCAGGTATTATTTCCTTATTCTGTTTGGCAGCACGTCATCGTTTTTTAATTTTCTATTCTTCAACGGAATTGAGCTGAATATTTCATTTAAAAATTTGTTCAGGAAAGAAGCTGGCTGAAAGCATAGTGAAAGAGAGGCTTGCAGCATGTGTAAACCGGGTAACAGGCACGTGAATCAGTCTTTTAATTTATACTTTAAGGCCATTACATTTTCTCTTGCTGGAATGTAGCCTTGTGAAAGACTTGTTTTGTGGGTAGCTTGGATTAAGAATAGTTAAAGTTTAAGATATATTAAAATTTATTCATATCTAGTTCACTGCCAAGTTGCTCTTCTGGAAATATTTAAAATGAGTTCCTTTTCCTTCCCTCTCGCTAAACATGGTGTATGAAGATGGTGATCAGAAATTTGCAGCATCTACCGAAATTACACCAGCTCTTTGTAAATTCATCTGAATATTAATAAATAAATGGACTCATCATGTTGAGCTTTTATGAAAAAGAGTTATCTTTTAACTGTATTGTTGGGTAAATAGGTGCAATGTTTAAGCTCTCCTTGTTTTGTCTCTGTAGTTTTCTGGGCTTTAAAGCCTTTGGATTTGGCACGCCTATCTCATAAAACAAAGACGAAGAAGAAGAGAGGAGATGGGGAATGAAGACGAAGAAGAAGACTTTTGTTTAGAATTTTTTTTTTTTTTTTTTAAAGTATGGACGGGTGTCCATTTCTAGTGGACACATGTCCAAACGTAAGGGACGGGGACCCCCGTCCAAATGTAAGGTGTCCCCAAAGGTTTTTTTTTTTAATTTTTTTTTTCATATTTTGGTTAAGGATGAACGTCCAAAATAAAGGACGGCCGTCCATAACGGATAAACGACCGTCTCTAATTTTTATAAAAAAAATTTATTCCATTTTACTTATGGACGCCCATTCGTAGTAAATGGACGCTCGTCCATATAATATAGATGAGAGTCCATGTAAGTGAACGGCTGTCCATATTTGATAGACAGCTGTTCACTAGAAAAATATTTATAAAAAATCAAGCGTCTGGATTACGGGTTTGAGTCAGGGGTACACGTAGGCCGGTATAAATCTTTGGTGCAAAATAATCGGTGTCCGTAGCTTTGTTGATTGTACAATTCTATCGAATTCAATTCAAAGTTTTCAATTCTGTCTTCAATGCGGCATCTCGCGTTACCCTTTTGGCCTTAAACTAGAAATGATTAGGCGATTGTGAAGATTGACAAACGGTGCCACGTGATTCAAAACGTCATACGATTCTTGCAAAAGCCGCACTTTCATTGTCTCCTTTCATTCTATAAACACGCTTTTTACTCAACTCATTTTCACAGTTTAAAGAAATCCAAACTGATATTTTCCTAAACCAAACACAAACTCAACAGGCTTAACCAGGGGCGGATCCAAAGTGTATCATGGCCCACCCTCAATTTTTAAAAAACAAAAATTAAATACATTATTCCATTTAGTTTGACTTTGACCCATCCTTAATTTTTATTGTCAAATATTAAAAAATTGTGTCCCACTCTCAATTTTAGAACTAAAAATTTTTGTTTAGCCCACCCTAATAAAGATTTCTGATCCGCCCCTGGGCTTAGCAATGTCTGAAGAAGCTCCAGTTATTCCTCTCCTCACCCCGTACAAGATGGGTAGTTTCAATCTTTCTTATAGGTACTTTTTCCAACTTTAAACTTTTGCAGTTTACACCCTTTCTTGTTTATACTTTAATCTCTGATGGATTTGGATGAATAGGCTTTATTTCATTCGCCCCAATAAATAGCCCAGAGAACGTTGAAAGTAAACAAAAGAGGATTTATTATTAAAAATGACCCAAAAAAAAAAAAATGAATATGTCTAGTGGCACGATATTTGTTAAAATCTTGATAGAATGAAAGGGCAATTGTAGTTGTCATGTCATGGACTCGTGTGATATAAAGAATGTAGTTGGAAGAGAATTGTACAGCAAATGTTGGATTGCGAACATGTAACGGGAAGACGTGAAGGTGAAATTGTGGAGTATTGATTACAAGAAGTGGGGCTTGAAATAATGAACATTTCCAAGATAATCATAACGGATATAGACATTATACCTTTCTTTATCATATTTAAGTAAATCTACGAATATTAGACACTTGATCTGTCAAAATTCTAACTCACCTTGCGTAAAAACCTTGAAATTAATCTCAAGATTCTAAAAATCCACTGTTTTTGTGCTCATAAATCTAAAATCAACCGACAAAGCAAGTGTTGGCGCCAACAATATCATACGCCACTACCCCCACCTTATTAAACCCACTCGTAAAATTATCATTTCCGACTTTCTCTCCAATTTTTGATGCTTTTATTTTGAGCAAAAGTTAATTAGCAAAATCTTGATAATAATATTATTATCCAAGAGATTTGAACTCAATGCCCCTCGAAACCTATACAACTGAGATACATTTTATACAAATGATCCTGTCATCGGTTACACAGATTATCCATTTCTTGAAACCACTTCTTAGACCTTTAAGTTACAGATATTGAACTTGCTTTTATCATTTGTTGTGGTTTCCATTGTAATTCACTGTATTTTCTTTTACCATAGTGTTACTTTTCTGCACTCTATATGTATAGAAAACTACCCTGTTCTAGTAATATATCATGGCAATAATTCTCTTCATGTGATTATTGTACAATTCTATCGAATTCAATTCAAAATTTTCAATTCTGCCTTCAATCCGATTCGAATTTTTCAGGTTCCGGCATGTCGCGTGACCCTTTTGGGCTTAACTAGAAATGATTCAGCGGTTGTACAAAGGCTCCACTTTCATTCTATAAACACGCATTCAACTCAGCTTGACTCAGTTTCACAGTTCAAAGAAATCCAAACTGATTGTTGATGCGTGATTTTGACACCAACTAATTGACACGTGCGTAACGTTGATTGGTCAAGAGACACATGTGATCATGGATGAAATGTAGAGTAAATGTAACAATGAGAGCTTTTTAAAGTAGTTCGGATGCTAAGGTAGCAAATCCTACGTCCATTGATAGTTGTATTAGAATCGTGGGTCAGGTCGCAACAGCGGACTGACTTACAAATGATTAGGGAAAAGTAAATACAAAGATACAAGAGAGAGAAAGCAAGTTCAGAGTGTAGAAAGGCCGAATCCCCTCAATGAAAGGGTTTTTCCTTTTTATAGTGAGATGAATGCAGATAATCATCATTAAATCCGTGGGTTGGTGCGAATGTCAGGACTAAATCCGGCTTTATGTCAAATTGCCCACCTTCCAAGCTGATGTCACGTGATTTGGAGCAGGGAATGGACACGTGGGAGCTCCACGGCGTCTTGCAGGCCTGACGTGCACTTACCGTTCTGACGGGAGTAGGTCACCCCCCCATCATGTGATTTCCCACGTCAGCCCTTGATTTCCCAGGCATAACACTGATATTTTCTTAAACCAAACACAAACTCAGCAGGCTCAAAAATGTTTGAAGAAGCTCCAGTTATTCCTCTTCTCACCCTGTACAAGATGGGTAGTTGCAATCTTTTTTATAGGTACATTTTCAAACTTTAAACTTTGGCAGTTTACACCGTTTCTTGTTTTTACTTTAATCTCTGATGGGTTTGGATTAATAGGCTTTATTTCATTCGCTCCGATAATAGCTAAGCGTTTTGTAATCTTCGGAGAGTATAAGATACCTCTTTAAAATTATCGAAAATTCCCTAAAAATATTATAAAACCCCTTAAAAAATATCAAAAAGCTCTTTATAAATATCAGAACCCCCCAATCAGGGAGATTTTTTATGCTTTTTGAAAATTGCTATGGTACTTGTAGACAACTATCTCTCAAGGGTTGATTAAAATAAAGCCACACTAGCACGATTGTTCTGGGTAATTAAGCTCTTGTTTTGTCGGGTTCTTTGATTGGTTTAGTGAAGATGGTATTTGTGAAAAGTCCCTGTTTCATCTCTTCAATTAAGAGTGTTTGGCTTTTGAGAAAGTGTTAAGAAAATGAGAATTAAAAAAAAAATAAAAAATAGAGAAACTAAAATTCATTGTTTTCTGAAATATTAAATTGAGAATCTGAAATTGGGAAGAGACTAGGAGAATATTAAATCCACATAAAAAGACTGTTTGTTTTATATGCATTAGAAAATGTATTTTTTATTT